CCCGGCCCCAGCGGCGCTGCCCCGGGCGGCTGCCGCGGGCTTTGTGACGCCGCCGGCACGCCCAGGTGGCCGACCGCGGGAGAAGCGCGTCCCGGTTTCCCGGGGAACAGCGCGCGAAACAGCCCTGAGCGCTGCGGGGGCCGCGCAGGACGCGGACGCGAGAGAAGGCTCCTCGGAGTCGGGCGCAGGACGCGGACGCGAGAGAAGGCTCCTCGGAGTCGGGCTGCCGGTTCCTCGGCGCATCTGCCCGGGACCTGAAACGGAGCTGGACGCCAGCGGCTTGTAAATGTTACCAAGGGGGAGACCGCACCCCAAAGCCGAGTGCCGAGGTCACAGTCAGCAAATGGAAAAGCATTTTCGTAACCCCGGCTCCGAAGCCCACGCACTCTGTGCTCGTCTCCCTATGAAAGCGCGAACTGAAATGTGAATTCCACGAAATCTGCAACCGGTTGCGCCCTTTTCTTTATTTTTCTTTATTTTTAGTTTTCTGTGCGTTTATTTGGTGACTAACACAGCTGCGTAACATGTAAAAACCACCCAAGTGTTCAGTACATTAGTTGTAGCAAAACCGCTGGAGTATTTCCACGCATGAAGATATGCGGAGACTTGACTGTTAGATGCAATGATTACGTGATAAATAAGATGGTAGACAAGAACCCCTGCGTGGTCAGTGCCCACCCCAACTCACTGGGTGGAGAGCAGAAGAGATGGGTGTATATGCTAGCGAGAGGAGCTGAACCGTCCCCAGTGAAGTCCTGCCCACTGGCATTATAATTGGGATGTGTCAGTATTGGGATAACTTGCTTTTGCAAAATCTGTTTTCTATGATTTTGTAAACCTTGATTTGAGATTCCAAAAAACTACTTTCCATTGTTGCTATGTGTTGCATTATTTGACTTTGCTCCTGACAAAACTAAGTTTCTCTAAACACGGGTATCTTCAGAGGGTTGCATTTCCCCCTTTTCTGTCACTGTGGAAGAAAACCAAATGATTTTCTCAAGAGAGGGGAAAGAATACGTTGTCGTTACACAGAAATGAGTTTAAACCTCCTTCGGCTGCTACCTGTAAAGTACGTAGCTGTATTTTAATTATAAAATTGAGAATTATAAAAAAACCTACCTTAAATAATTTTATGAAGATTAAATGAAACTGTATCTTTGTAGCCTGGGACGTGCTCACTCACCAATAAACAGCAGAAGGAACCAGACTGGTGACAGGATGAGTTGTATCTTGCGTGAATTGTATCTCAATAAAGTTGTTTTTAAAAATAAGTAGGGACTTTGAAGGCAAAACTGTGCTCTCTGTCACCTTATAACATAGTCAAGAAGTAATGTGTTATTAACACTCTTGTCCATTTTCCCGTCATAGAGAAATGTTGAAACTTCTAGGTATGCAGCAAAGAAAAACAGTCTTTTCTGTGCTTGCACCCTGCCCAACGTAGTGGGTTGACTGGGTAAAGATGTATACGTTCAACAACATCAACTTGAATTATATGTCAGACTTATGAGATCATTTTGTGGAACTAACCAGTTACCATCAGAATGATTATAAGATTTTATTGAGCAAGCACATATAGTGTACCTGGCATGGTTCTAAATTCTTTAAAGGACTAAGTTATTCCCCATAGCAACTCTGTGAGATAAACACTATTATCATTCCAATTCTATAGATGAGGAATTAAAGCAAGTAACAGAACCTAAATTGGAAAGCGTAACAGTGGCCCAAAAAATTTGGGTTAATTTCTATTTTTTTAACCGGTCTTTATGATCTTGTTTATACCAATCAACTTTTCAGTGGCCTCAGTTTACCAGTTCTTGGGATTTGTGCTTATTTTCCCAATACTTCTTTCAATTATGAAGAAAAATATTATTTATAAGGATGAAATTCATTAAGGCCTACAGCCCTACTGAATAGATAACTAGATAAATCCATGAGAAAAGCTACAAAACTTGGAATCACTCAGATAATTTGAATGTACTAGGAATTACTTCTGCTTATTCAGAACAAGTGTCTTCATTGATATGTCCCTAAAGTCATGTCCTAAAAATGTACTATTTTCTTGTTAAGATTAGTTTCCCCTTCTCAGATTTTCTGTACTTTTTCTGCCCATTAAAAAAACCTAGGAATTTGAGTAGGAAAGAGAAATTCAGAATGTTGGCATCTGTAGAAATAAGGCTTGGTAGGCGTAAAGTGGACCTCACATAAAGTCATAGTTGGTTTTAAAATTAGAAATATTCTACAAAGGGTCCCTTGACTTGTAATAATTCCCTTCTCTGCTCACTCACGTTTGAACAATCCCTTGTTCAACCTTGAGAGTTTCTTCTATTCAGTGATTAAGAGTTAGGACTTCAAATATAAGTATTATAGGAGAGAGTAAGGCTTAAAACCGAGGCGTTAAAGGTGAGTCAATTTTCACCCTGAGGTGAATGAAAGGAGGAAAATCATTGTGTTTCATAATAGAGTTGAACGGATGAAAGTACAAAGAATTCCAAGGTAAGTTTGCCACCGTCACAGTTTTATATAGTGCTACGTGAGCCCAAGAGAAAATCTGCCTAAAGCCCGAGTGGATTTAGCAAATCACTTACATATATAGAATAAGCACAATCCCCAGAAGAATAAGCACATACCAGCCAGGCATGGTAGCTCATGCCTGTAATCCCAACACTCTGAGAGCCCCAGGCACAAGTATCATAAATTTGAGCCGAGCTTGGGCAGTTCAGCAAAAGCAAAAACCTTATTTCAAATAATAGCAGGGATTATTATTAATAAGCATGTGCCCTAAAAGAATAATATTTGGTGACCTCTCTGAGTCTTTATTCCTCAGCTCTTCCCATATTTGATTTTCAGGAGGCGCTGTCATACTTTTGCTCCTCCGTTTCTGCACTGCGGTTATTCCTTCTGTTAATCCGCCGTTCCCTCATTTTTATCCACCTCTCAAAGCCCTTCATTCTCTTATGCAATTTTGTAATTCCCTTCCCCTTCCCCACCCTCTCGGAGCAGCCAGAAGGCAGTGGAAAGGCGGAGGAGTAGCGCAAACACGAAAATAGCGCGTAGTAAAATACTTAATCTGTTAATGATATTTTGAAACTTGGGGTGTGAATAAAAATGGCAAGTGCCGCGATGCCGTTTTTTTTAAAGCTTCGGAATACAGAGGCTCCTCATTTCAAACAAATGTTAGGTTCAGATAAGGAGGATGAAAAAGTAGTGAAATGAATATAGCACCTCTTACAATGAGCCAGTCTACTTGTTATCTTGGCTCTGGCTCGGCGCCACTAACTAGCTGGATAACCTTGGCCAAGTTATTTAATCTCTGTGAGCGTTCATTTTCTCATTATAAAATAAGGTGATTAGACTTCACAGGCTGAACCTCAAAAGCTTGCAGGGCTTAGATATAACTAATGTAAACGGGTGAAGCAAATCTCCCTTAAGATGATAAGGAGTTTTGGGGACTCCCTTGAACTGTCTGCCCCAATGAGAAGTACTTAAATTAAAGGAATTAAAATAAAATTATTTCTCCTCCTCCATAGATCTGGAAAGTTTAATTTGGGCATGGACATGAAGTCTACAAATTGCTTAATCTGGCTTGCTCTGTAGATCATCTCTTTTCCAAGCACACACAAAATATTATGAAAATTTATATTGTCTTAAATGTTGACAAAAGTCTGCCCCATACATAGGTAATTCTCACTAAATGATGACAGAGCTAAAATGATTAGAATCAAAATAAATAAACCAAGTAGTCAAATAAATGTAGACTTATACAAAAAGTACCCAAGTAATATATTCTGTGCATTCTAAATATTTTAAATGAAGTGTTCATGTATGGTGGAAAATTTTTTCCCAAAGGTCATCTTACCCTACTCAACCAAAATGACATACATCGAACCCAGGCTGAAAGTAGGAAAATACTGATTTAAAATTTTATTAATTTACTGTGCCTTTATTGACAGACATCAAGGTTAGTAAAAGAACCACTTCACGAAAATAAACAGAAATGTTTAAGCAGCCTCTGGTCCTTTCCTAAGCCTCAAATTAATAGATAAACTTTAGAAAAATAAATAATTTCAAAGATGCTGATGTTTTGTTTTAAGTGGACAAGACGAATTAAAACATTGATCTTACATTATCTGATTGTTTTTATTTTGTAGCATTTCATTCAAAAGTTTTTTAAAAACTTGTACCTATGGATCTTGGAAACCTATACAACTAGATTGAAAGGGAGTTATGCAATGAGCCACTGTTTCTCCAACTGCATAGATTTCAGAGAGATTAACTTTGTTTTCTCCCAAGAGAGGACTGAATTATTCAGATTTTCTGTTTGAACAATCCTTCTCTTCATTTTTGCTGCAAGAGCAAAAGATTTAAACTGCTTACAAGGAGTTTTTGACAGCAAAATAGCAGGTCTTAAAGAATGTGCTCCAAGACTGATGGGAACATTGAGCAAAGCTTGTTGCTTCTTTTTAGGCAGCAGGACGGCAAGATATCACACAAGAGGTTTGTGCCAAGTTAGCAGACACCAACAAGGACGAAAAACCAAGTTTGGCGCTTTTGTATAAATATTTACTGTGACTTTTTTTGCTAGCTGACATGCTTCTGTTTAGAACCTCTTAGATTGTATTAATTAAGCATTTCTAAAATTCTTAGTGGCCTGAAGCTACTACGGAGAAATTGGACCTGATTTCTACAACATGAGGAAAGGATGACATGTGCAGGAAATAATAATAGAACCTCTACATATAATTTTTTTTCTTTTTTTTTTTTTTTTCTGGTACTGGGAATCGAATGCACGACTTTGCGCTTACCAGGCAGGCGCTGTGTCACTGAGCTAAATCCCCAGCCCCTACAGATAATTTACTTAATAATCAGTATTACCCTCTACTACTTACCAGTTCTGTGATACTGGAAATTTTAGCTTCTTCATCTGTGAAGTGGGGATAAGAGACATTTCATTAAGGCTCACTGAAAAGTGAATTGAGCAACAAATGCTGAGTTAATAATAGAGCTTAATACTTAGCACGATTATTATCTAGCAAATACCTGTCCCTTTTGTTAAAATTAGTTCCCCATGTAAAAAAACCCAATTACTAAAGAGCTTAAGAAGGATACTATTAAAGGTCTAACTTTACTAGTCCCTTGTGTGAAAGATTCTCAGGGATAAAACAACATACCTACAACCTGCTAATGGAGTACAAAATGCAAGACTATGTTTATATGTTTATGAATGTTTTAAATAATTAAAAATACATATGAATAACAAATCAAAGATATTGCTTTGAGGTCATTTCACTTGCTGACTGACAGTGTGGAAGGCAGAATAACAACTTCCAAAAGAGCTGTGTGTTGTAATCCCAGAACCTGTGACTATGTTATCTTTTACGGCCAGAGGGACTTTGCAAGTATGATTAAGTTGACCTTGGGATGAGAGCACCCAGTATGATCCAGTGGGGCACAGCCTCACCCCATGAATCCTTAAAAGCAAAACAAAGTTTTCTGTCTGTGATCAGAATATTATGTAACCATGAAAGAACGACTTTGAAGACAGAATAAAGGGGCCAAGAAGTAAGGAATGTGGATGACAAGTAGAAGCTTGCGTAGGAAAGGAAATGAGTCCTTCTCTGGACGCTCCAAAAGATGGTTTACCAACTTCTTGATCTTAGTGCAGTGAAATTTGTATGAGATTTATAACCCATAGAAGTATACGATAATACACTTCTGTTGTGTCATCACTATGTTTATGGTAATTTATTGCAGCAGTAATAGAGTAAAAAACGAATACCAAGAAGCAGAAAAAAAAAAAGAAAAAAACCTCCTTAAGGAAATTAAGAAATATTCACACCCTAAAATTAATTACTATATCCATCTACTGTAGCACTACATATACGTGTGTGTAGCACTACATATACATGTGTGTGTGTGTGTGTTATCATGGAGAACAACAGAAATTGGATAGAATAAACTATTCTGGACTACTAGTTGACAAAGTATGGAAGTATGTTTCAACAATGAATTATAAAACTGACACAAAATGGAAAATGACAGCCAAACCTAAGTCTTCAGTTATTATTCGATTATTTTAACTTTTTAGGCAGTATCACCAAATTCTCAATATCAAATTGTACTAAACACCCACCAAGACGTGTAGGTTATACGTTACACTGAGTACCCTTAAACTGGTCCAGAATAGGAGATAATAGTAACTAAAAAGAATCAAAATAGGTGACAGGAGAAACCAAAGTGTTTCTAGATAAACTGTAGTATACTAACTGTTGGCATGTGGTAGAGAAAAATGTTATAAAAACTTTCTAATAAAGACTCTGAAAAACAGGGAAGTAAGGGTAGTCATTAAACCAATTTTACTGCACCAGTCAGAGATTTCCAGGGAAAAAGAACCAAAATGATAAAGATTTATTATGAAGGATTCACTCATACAAGTATGGCGGCCGATAAGCTCTAGTGTCTTTAAAGTGCAGAACTAGGGGCTCTGTCCAAACCTGAAGGCCCGAGGACCAGGGAAGCCCATGGTGTAAGCCCTAGTCTCAGTGTGAAAGCTCAGGAATCAGGGGAACTAATGCAGGGAGAGAATTTGCTCTTCCCCCTTTTTGTTTTGTTTTGTTGCTGCTGCCGTTGTTTAGTTAAGGTCCTTGAAGGACTGGGTAGTTCCCACCCACATCCATGAGGGCATTTTCTTAAAAACTCATTCTGTTGATTCAAATTCTAATCCCTTCTACAAACACATTAACAGACACATCCAAAAGTAATGTTTTACCCCTATTTGGGCATCCTTTATTCCAATTAATTAACACATAAAATTGACCATCACACTCATGTACCACGATCAGAGGAAACTGAGTCAATTGACTTACAAGGGAATAGAGCCATAAATACACAGAGGGCTGGATAATACCCATCACTGTTAGCCAGAACAGATTACGAACCAGCGCACATACTCCAAAGTTTCCTTCCTCCTTCTCCACTTCTATTCGTTTCACCCTTGCTGCCTCCAAAGGCACTTGGTACAAGGCTGGGTTGACAGTGGTTCTTTGCTAAGTGAAAGTACTCAATGAAAGACTTCGCAGAGAAGTTAAAACTAAAAATAAAACCCAAGTCTACTGACTGCTTAAAGTGGTTAATGGGAGATGGAAGTCGATCAAGATATGGAGAAAACAAAATAAGCTTCCTTTTTTTAGAACAAAGATGAAATAGTCACACATGATGCCCTTCAGGCTCTGTAAGGCTGTGTTTTTTAAAGGGCCCGTTGAAATGGTGCTATTCAACAAATTGCTTTTAGCCTTTGCAGGGAAACATGAATCTGAACCATTTTTTCCTGAGAATAGAATCAAATAAACTATAAAATTAAGAGAGTTCAAAGTTGTCAGATTTTCAAAATAAATAACAGAAGTTTTCCCAAAATTATTCCACTGTTAACAAGGCTTTCACTTGCAAGTTAATTATTTAAGTTAATTCGCCAAAGAAACAACACAATCTTATAGACTTGGACCCCTTTTTCAAATCTGAAAGATATTTAAAGCTCTGTTGAAAGACTAAATAAGCTTTTAAATGTAGAACAATTCTACATAATAATGTAGAAATGATAATTTGACAGGAAGGAAATCTATACCAACATTGATATTATTATATATTTGCATTCAAGGCATGGAAGAGTTTATAAAGAAATCAATAGAGTTATCTTTCAAGTCCTTCTTTTAAAAGGTATAAGAAGTTTCTAAATTTTTTTGGTGTTTTTTCAGGTATCGGGAATCGAACTCATGACCTCGCACTTGCCAGGCAGATGCTGTGCCGCTGAGCTAAATCCCCAGCCCCTTCTAAAAATTTTTAAACTTTATTTTTATTAGTACATATATGTCATATATACTGATCACATTCATCCTAGGGAATTTGTACCTGTATATAATATATCCCAATTCTTTTTTGATCCTTTCCCTCCCCCACCCTCTACCCCTCTTCCCCTCCCCATGTACAAAAGCTTTGTTTCTATTTTTTTTTTTTTTTTTTTTTTTTTTTTTCCTTTTCACTTCCTCTCCCCTTTCTCCCTCCCTTGTTTTTCTTCCCATTTGAACATTTTTTTTCCTACTTCCCAATATAAAAGATAAAGGAAGTTTTATCTAATTAATAGACCAGGACATGTCAAACTAAATATGGTGGCTCTTCTACCAAAAAAGAGCTCTTAAGTCGGGGAGCTACACACCCAAGAAGAGAACATAATTCTTCACATGAATTTCATAAAGATAATGAAATGCACTTGGAAAACTCATTTGGAATTTGTTCTTTCTATTAACCACCTTGAGGTGTATTGTCCAATAGACTTTTAATGGCTGGAAGGTTAAAAAACATCATCTCAGCCTAAATCAATGCTTCTAAAAGTGCAGTATGAAGATTAGCTGTATCGTATACTTTTGTGTATTTTAAAATGTGGATTATTAGGCTCCACTCCAGATACACTAAATCAGAACCCCTAGGAGATGAAGCCTAGGAAATATTTCAACAAGCTCACAGGTCATTCTTGTGTTCTCTAAATTTGGAAAATACTAGTCTCAGGAGACAGGTTGGCTTCTTCAATGAATGGTTCCCATACTGAAGCAATGAGTCTTGACCTAGTGATAGAAGTTGAGCATTTGGGGGGCTTGAAGCACAAAATACCTTAGCTAGGGTAATTTATTGCTCACAGTTCTTGGAAGCTGGGCAACCTAAAACCACGGTGCAGAACATGTGCCTGGTGAGGACCCACTCTCTGCTTCAGAGGTGGCAGCTTCTTGCTGGAAGAGGCAAGGGAACTCCCTGGAGCCTCTTTTTAAAGGAACCTAATGTCATATAAGAGGGTGGAGCCCTTACAAGTCCATCAGTTCTCAACGAATACATCAAAACTAGTAAATACGAAAGTGTGAAATAAAAGCACAATGACATACCGGTTCACAGTCTGTCACTCTGAATTTTGTTTTAGCTCGACATTATCATGTGTTAGTGAGAACGTGAACCGACGAGAATTGTAATATTCTGTCAACAGGGTTATATAGGGAAACACTTTGGAGGACACCATGGTACTGAATGAACTTGTAGATGTCCGTACCTCACAACTCAGCAGTTTTACATCTTGGTCCCCTAGTGGGACTTCTTCAAGTACACACCAGAAGACACACCCACGTGTATTTACTCCCACGTTTTTTATTCCAGCAAAATGGAAGTAAATCAAGTAACAAACAATAGTGTATAGTTGAATAAACTGGTGCATATCCATTCAAGGCATTTTCACATTTTAAAAGTTCTTTCAGGAGAGATTATCATATTGGAAAGTTTTAATGCACTATTATTTGAGGGGAATTGATTAAAAATGTGCACGTACTTATGTAGTGTGGTTATATATCTATTTGTGTATGTATACACCCTGACTCCCCAAATATATCCTTAGGGAGAAAAAAAAAAACCAAAACAACAGTGGTTGAGTTCAACGGACATACTATGGTTGTTTTTGTTCTTTCTAATTATGTTTGTTTTTTCTTAATTCACGTAATAAGCATGTAAACATTCTTAGAAATAATCAAGGAGGATGAAGAGAAAGGAAGGAGCAGAGGAAGAAGAGGAGGAGGTGTTTGAGCAACACGGGAGGGAAATAAAAAACAAATCTTGTAATGGCTCAATAATACATTGATGTCTTCCATTTGATGATAACTAGTTAAATTCAGCGGGCAAGGACACATCGTCAAATGAGTAGAGTGCTGGCTCCTGGTGTGTAGTAAATGTTAAATAACAGCCGTAATCTTTAGAGAAGATTTCTACTAGCCGTGGTCTCAGCTTTCTGGGTTTACACAGTTTAGTTAGCTTCTGCTTGTACAAGACCCTGGCATTTAGGCACACAATAAAATAGAAAATCAGTTGATAAACAGTAGGATTTACCAGTAATCATGAATATATGTTTTTGCTTGGTTTCATCGACTGCATAATGTTTTTTTAAAAATTACTTCATTTACTTGATAAGCTGAAATGGCTATGGGGCTTCCTTCCAGCCTACAAAACACATGATGTGCATTCATAAATATATAATTAGGGAGCTCTTAAAGCCAAATTTGCTAGAGCGCCATTGCAGGTCCAGTATCATAAATACTAAAGCATCTTTCTGCTATGTCGTCTTTGTCAACAGGGTTACTTAGTGGAGCATGTTGATATTTAAACATGATCTCTATATGAAAATATAGAGTGGAAATCTGACTTCCAAATGGTCTTTGTTATTGTGAAAATCATCCAGAACTAAACACATTTTCATCTTCTTAACCTCCTAAGTATGTTAATGTTTAAAAATAACTAACATAAAATCTTAATAAGTTAGCCTATAGTTTTCAACATAATTATGTAAAATATTAATTTCTTTATATTTCTTAGGTCAGTGGCTCATTTAAAGGAATTTTAAATGAATCTGGCCTTTGCAAAGAAAGGTTTTTATAATAAACGGTTTTTGAGTAGGTTAGTACCTGTTAGTTATCAATCATATTCCCAAAATTATGTATATTTCAATGTATGTTAATTTTACTCCCAATTACTATATTTTCTCCAACTAAAGAATTTGCTTTGTAATCCTAATACATGTGGATATAGTCAGAGTAAGTGTACAAAATTGTGTGCAATTAAATTTGAAAATTTGAAAAAACTATAAAATTTGAAAAATTATATTTTTAAGACAAGGAATTATGCAGAGTAATATAACATATCTGTAAATAATCACAAAGAATTCTCCACAGTTAAGATTTTATCATATTTATCTTTTTGTAACATAATGAATAAAATATTAAAAGTAAGTAGGAATCTTTGTGTCTCACCCTTTCCTTTTTTCCAATAAACTTACTGTGTGTCCTTTCATCTTCCATTCAAATTTTATCCTCTTACAAACATATACTATATCCAAAGTACATAGTATTGGTCTTTGAGCCTGTTTGTTTATTTATTTATTTATTTGGGTACCAGGAATGGAACGCAGGACCTCATGCTTGCCAGGTAGGTGTTGCATCGCTGGGTTAAATCCCCAGCCGTGGTCTTTGTGTTTAAAATTATGCTTTTTAAATGAGTTATCCTATACAATCATTTTGCATGTTTTCTTTTAACTAGCACTGCTTTTGTAATATACCCCTGTTGATATATATATATGCAGGTGTTGTAGCATTCTTAGCTTAGTGCTATATTCCCAGAGGATTACCTAACAGTCATAAGAATGTTAGGTAAATGGCTACTAAAAGGCCTAAAATAGCCCAAGATAAGTTTGGTTTTTGACCTACAATGCCCCATATCTGCACAATTACAATGTTCTTGTCAGCCAAAATTAGTAGTCTGCAGTATCCTTAAAGTAGAAGTAGATGCATATACATATTTTTAAATAATGGATTCCCTTTGCCTGCTTTATGATTTTCTGATATTCTACCATTCAAACATACCAAAATATACATATTTCTTCATTCTCCTTTTGATAAGCATTTCGGTTTTGGCCTATAGTTTGCTTTTACAAAGCACACTGAAGTGAATATCCTAATATCTATCTCTGCGCAAACGTGTGAGTTTCTCTTGGGTATGTATTGTGAGCTAGGGAGCTGCATCAATTTTTATATCTAAGACGTTTGGCACAGGGGCTTTTAGAAAGGGCTGTACCATACACATTTGTTGCATCAAACCTCTTTGATGAAGTTTTGTTTTTAACTGACAAAACAGATGGAAATTTCTAGTGTTAACAAAAGCAAATTCAGTGGAAAGTTAGGATTAATGATTCTTTCCATATTTGAGTGCATAGTTTAAAATATTAAAGTTTGCCTCGCTGTAATGCTTTCAAAGATAAGAAACATACAAATTTTCAAGGGTTTTCCCCAGCTTATTATCTGTAATTTCATACGTCAGAAAACAACTAAAAATGAGAACTACCTTTAATTATCCTAGATCCCTATGCCTTGTAATTAGCAAGTGTATTTGCTAACTGAAAAATTGTACAACAAAGGAAATAGGAAATTATAGAGCAATAAATAAAAGAAACAGTACTTATAAATTTAGACTTGCTAATTCAGTAAGCTTTGTCTAGTGAATGCACTCAGGTTGAGGTCAAGCTAAAAGCTTTCTGAATCTGAGAATTATGCTTGGCCTCCACTAGAGAAATGTTTGGCTGCCATATAGCCAACGCTTCCCTGTGATTAGCCGCCAAGAAAAATCAGTTTCACGGTACAGAAGAAAATTAGGGACATCAGAGTTCACATAACAATTGCCGGTAGTCTCTCTTTCTGCTTGTTACCCACTCTTGTTCTGGGATGCTAGAACCAGCACCGTCATGTGGTAGAGAGTGCCTGAGCCCAGACATGAATTGAATCCATTTTACTGTTCTGGTACTGGAAAAGACCAAAACCAAAATTAGACGTCCTTTCTTAAGGAGTTTATATAACATGTCGCATAGGCAGAAAGAATAAACCTTTAAAAGACACAGTCTGCTGTGAATGCTGCTTTTGTGATTCAACACTCAGATGCCCAAATTTAAGCAAAATGAATGATATCTATATAATTCTCTTATCTATTTATTAAGCTCCTTAAGGTGCTATTTTGTCTCAGGAAGAAATAATACCAACATAAATGATACCAATGATAATACAATATAATAATTTAAAAGCTCATATGAGCATTAGTATTATAAAATAAAGTACATTCAGTTAACTATACAGTAAATGTGTTATTTATTTTTATTAATAAGTATATAGAATAGGATATTTATATAATCTGTTATAGACTATGTAAAATATATTTATATTATATATTTACCACATAATAAATATTACTGGACACACTTTTATAAGCTCTCTTTTATTCTGGGCAGAGTGGATCTTTAGTGCTGTTGAGAGAAGCACTGGATAACTGTTGCACTCATCCCTTCTGTAAAAACCCAGTACAAATTTAGTGGTTTAGAACGATAACATTTATTGCACTCATGCATCTGTAGTTTGGGTAATGAAGAAAGCTCATTTCTTACTCATGCAGCATCAGCTAGGATGGCCTGGGTACCTCAATGGCAGAGGAACTAGAAAACATGCTCACTTTAACATAAAACTAGAAAACATGCTCACTTCCACATCTGAAATACTGGATGCTCCATGAGACCTCTACTGGGGTCCTGGTCAGATGGATCGCTTACACCTGGCTCTCTGTGTGACTGGTTGGCTCCCTTATAGGTAGCATGCTAGCCAGGTTCAAAGAGAGGGCAACCCAAGGTAACAGAGTAGAAGTGTGTGTGTGTGTGTGTGTGTGTGTGTGTGTGTGTATAAGTTCATTTTTATGACATAATCACTGTATTCTGTTGGTTGGAGTAAAGAAAAAGGCTATTGCTTGATGAGGGGAGTGTCAGTGATACTCCACAACAAAATTTTAATTATAAAGATTTGTATTGAAGTCTGAAGATGGGGGTCAGTATTGAAGATTTGGGGGCCATTAGTTAACTTATAGTAATTGAAGTCCAGAGGAAAGGCAACATTTCTTCAGAAGAGCACATCAAGGAAAAGATGTGGACCAAGAATGAAACCCTAAAACACAACAGCGGGGCTGGGGATTTAGCTCAGCGGCACAGCACCTACCTGGAAAGCGCAAGGTCGTGTGTTCGATTCCCGGTACCAGAAAAAAACCAAAAACCAAAAACCAAACAAACGAACAAAAATAAAACACAACAGCACTTAGGAGGTGGGCTTGTGGGATGTGTTGTGGTCAAACTTTGGAAAATATAACTTGCTACAGCGTGGATGGACATTGAATAGGCCTTAAGAGCTAAACAGTTCTTTGCTGTAGATTGAATAGTCAGGGGGAAGACTTTAGAGGTAGAGAGGACTGAAATTGGACCAGAGAGAGAAAAAAGAATGGTGCGGCTGCTGTGGAAGGAGAAATTCTGAGAAACGATTTAAGGTCCACAAGGGAAATTAGATATTTTGCTCTTCTGTTTCATAAATATCTACGTATTTATCAGTGTCCCTGGAGTTTGATTTTTAGTTATAAAGATGTATTCTGCTTGTTTTAAAAGAAAGAGCTGAGGGTTGGGGATTTAGCTCAGCAGCACAGCGCCTGCCTGGCAAGCGCAAGGTCGTGAGTTTGATTCCAGGTACCAGAAAAAACACAAAACAAACAAACAAACAAAAAGAAACAGCTGGGATAGAGCAGGTGGTCTATGGTTACCCGGTCACATTCAGGGTATATTTAAGTACACCAAAAGTACACCTACATATCCAAATACTATAGTTTTGCCAGTAACTTCCAAATCTAATTCACTGTAGAGCAAGTTTAGTTCACCAAGCCTTTAATAGGTATTTAGAATGTTTCAGTAAATATTAGTTGTTAAGGATATAAAGATGAATAAAACCCCATTTCTGCTCTAAATCTAGTGGGATGGTCAGATTTATAAATTAGAAGTTCCAGTTAAAATCCTTAAGGTTTAAGAGTGGATTATGGAGTCAAAATGGCTAACTCTGGGTAACTTATTTATCTCTCTAAGCCTCAACTCCATCAATTATAAAAAGGGAAAGTATTCATTTGTACAGCGGAGAGCTGTTGGGAGGATTAAATGAAATGAAAATGTATGTAAAATACTTAACACAGTGCTTGGCACAAGGAAAGTGCTCACAGATGATTAGTTGTTGCGTCATGTAGTAAAATGATAAATGTTAGAGTATAAATACCTCATGGGATCGCTTGAGGATACAGGGGGTGAGACGGTAAAGTGCTTAATGAGCCCATACACAGGAGCAGCGCAAGATGAAAAGCTTGGCTTTTGTTAAAACATTATTATGAATTAAAGAAGGCAATACCACAGCATGACACCAAAGCCCAAGTTCTTCTAAGACTGCGATTACCTGGACTACACAAGTTTCATGCCTGTGAAGTCAGCACTGCCTCTATGACACCTTTGTGGAAATTAGAAAAAGGAACCCCTTCATCCAGGTAGTTTGCTTCCCTCACTTGTTCCACCAGCGAGAGCATAAACTGCACAACCATGCGTAGCAGTCATTCTTCAAACCCCGCACGCCTAATTCAACCCCTTATGCGCCTCCCAAGTACATCCCTTCTCTCCTATTTCCAGAATCAATTAATGACTCCATTATGCACCAGGTTAGGCAGGGCAGAAATGTGAGAGCCGTTTGCACTGGCCCTTCTTCATTTCTCACTCGCAATTGGTCATCACGTGGTGCCAGTTTAACCTAAACATTGCATAACTACACACTGTATGATTGGACACTTAGGTCAACTCAAGAGTTTTAGAGCATCTTCTTGGAGGATTTTAAGACTGACTTCTGCCTTGAAAGATGGGTGAGTCTTATCTAAATAGGAAAAAAGATAAAGAGGATAAATACAGAGGATCCAGGCAAGAAAAAGCGTGACATGAAGGCGAAACCACCAGAAACTTCACAACACAAGGGCACAAAGCACGAGGTATGAAATGAAAAGTGAGGTGAGGGCAAGGAAATGCCAGTGGATTATAAAGTCTTCATGTCAAGCCAAATGATCTGGGCTTCAGGCTGATGGCAGGAAGGATCCACCAATAGATTTCAAGCAGAGTTGGCATGGTCAGACCTGGCTTTCATAGCAAAAACTAAGGCTTTGATGACCTTAATGGGGATGAGGCTGCACACAAGGAGTTATTTAATTGTTGCAATATGGCGTGGCAAAAATATGGCCTGAATTAAAGCAGCAGGAGTAAGGCTAAATCAAAGGTTAGGTGGTAAAACTGGTACCTCCTGATTCATTGTGAGTGAAAAGTGAAGAGGAATCATTATAGATAGATGGTCCTCATGTTTTTGTTTTGGGTGACTTGGTGAATAGTAGAGTTATTGATTATCAAAACAGGAGAGTATGTGTTACTGGTTAATTTCTCAATGATAGCCATTCTTTTTGGGGTGAGATGGAATCTCAGTGTTGTTTTAATTTGCATTTTTGAATGACCAATGATGTTGAACATTTTTCATGTATTTATTTGCCATTTGTATTTCTTTATCCGAGAAGTGTGTATTCATCCCAGCTGCCCATCCTTGTATTGGGTCTTTGAATCTTGCGGGGCTGATTTTTTTTTAATCCTTCATATGTTGCCTTATTGAAAGGAACAGTTAATGTTTAATTACTTGGTCACTCTTGCATGCCTGTATTTGTTTATCTGAGTAACCACTCTGAGGATAACAATGGGTAATACAACCACCACTGTTAATTTCCTATCCCTTGTCTGAAATTCTGTATTGCTTTTGTTGTTTTTGTGTTGTTTTGTTTATGTCTCTGTGTTTGTTAATATGTCTTCATGCTTTTATCTTTAAAATGAAATACATAAAAAATATGAAAAAAAGAAACAGAGGAAGGATGTGTTTGGGGTGAATTTAGATATTCAGAGTTTGAAAAACCTAAGCAACACACAAGTGGATTTATTTATGTAAAATGTGAAGAGAGGTACTGAACCCTCCGCCTCCCCCCCCAGAATGTTCAGGTCTCATACCTGGCAATATGGCACACAGATGCAGAATAAAGATACAGAGAGAAAGTTCTGCAGATGAGAAGCTCTGGGTGATCAGTGTTCTCTGTGGAACATAAGGCCATGGGTCCAAAAGCTCACAGCTTTTACTGGTATCAATCAGGGAGGTGGCGGGTGGGCTGCGGCAGAGTGCTAGGGAAAGGAAACTTTGCAGACACTGGCTGTAAACAGAAACAAAGCAATTCTGTACCAGGCACAAAAGCTCTCCAATTAGCAATGTGGTGGATACTTTGATGTAAGCAAGGCTGGCAACTTCACTGCCAGGAAGGTATAATTCTTATTGAGCCCCATGGCTTCAGCTGAGATGTTATCTCACCTTTTTCACCCTGGAATCTCACAGGCTTCTGCTTCACCCCTAATTCCAGCCATCAGTGGTGGAGGGCCATTTCTCACCCCTGTACTATAATGAGATAAGTTTGTGTCTTGGCCAGACTCAATCACAGTCTTTTAGCCAATTAAAGGTGCATCTGGTTCTAGATACACAGCCCTGCCAACCCTGCGTATCTCAGGGAAGTTTTGAAGGTTTGAAGGGAAAGAGGGAGGCGAGGAGTTTCATTTCTCAGGAGAACACAGTGGGGGGGGGTCTCCCACAGAGAGGGATCCGTGTTAAAGGTTTGGAGACCTTTAACACTCTGATTGTAAGAGTTCAGAGAGTAGATGCGGCTAGCTAAGAAGAGTCATCAAGAAAAAGATGTGGACCAAGACCAGAAACTTAAAACACAACAGCACTTAAGAGATGGGCAAAGGAAGAAAGTGAATGAGAAGAATTGGTCAGAGAGGGAAAGGAGAGGAACAGAGGAGATGACTTTAAGAAACCAAGAAAGGAGAGGACTCAAGAATTCTGAAGCTATCACAGTTTGAAGACGGTGACGCAGACAGTGGATATTTTCCTTTTCTCTTTCTGAAAACCACTAAAGAGCAACAATGACAGTGAGAAAATAAAGAGCAGAAATTAGGAGACAACTAAAGCCTCAGTTCACAAAATAGGTGGAAATGGTGCTAGAACTTTAGAAGTTAAGCAAAGATGTTCACAGAAGGAAATTGGGAGCACAGAGCTATGAACATCATAGAAAAAACTCACGAAGGAAACTTCTCGAAGGCAGTAGACTTAACCTAAGGGGCAAGATGTAAAACCTTCTTGGGAATAGGGAGCATGCCACGTGAGACCATCTGTGGGATAAGTTGGTAGACATGGGATGGCTGGATCTAAATGAACGTGCCTTGGAAGTTTTGATAAATATTGTCAAATTGCCCCTCACAGATTTTTAAATGCAATTACACACCAACCAGCACTGCATAAAAAGAACTATGCTCTTGCCAGGAATGTGTAACTGAACTTTTGGATCGTTCTATCTTCTATTTTTTCTCTTTAATGCTGTTTCTGAGGAACTTTTACTATGGTAGGCAGATCAATCACTTGCAAGCTGTGATAATTTTCTAAAAAATTTTGTGGGTTTTCCCCATGCAGTTTTCAAAAATTAGCCAGGGCAATTGCAATATTCTGGAAGGCTGAGACAGGAGGATTGTAAGTTTGAGCTCAGCCTGGGTAACTTAGAAATTTAACAAGAACTTGTCTCAAAATTTTTTAAAAATGTGATTTACAAAGGCCTAAATATGTATCTCAGTGCAAAGGCTCTGCATCGCAAGTACAACATCACAGTAATAATTATTATTAATGCAATACAGTTAGCGTTCCTTTTTAACTCTTATCAGCACACGTTTATAGCACATAATGATGATATTGTGGATAGCTGGTCCATGTACACAACTCATCTTAAGTCTGTCTTCTTCCCTTTCACCCCCTCCTTCCCTCCCTCATTGCTAGATCCCCTTCCTATTTGCAAAAGAGCTATCACCCTATTTCCTACGATCTGTCTATTATTTTGCTCTTTAAATTATTCATATTTATAATTTCTCATGTAAAGGGAACCATATGACACTTAAACTTCTGCATCTGATTTGTTTCACTTAACATTCTTGTCTCAAAGTGCATTCATTTTCCTACAAATGACTCAAATGTATCCTTCTTTATGGCAGCATATTACTCCACTGTGAAAATTAGTGTTCTTTTTTATGGCTTTTCAACTTGGGAGTAAATTTAAAGAACTTTTTTCATTTCAGCCATTTAATCATTAAAAAAACTGTCACAATTTTGTTCTGGATTTTTCCACTTTCCAAAACTTACTAAGTATTTTCAGCTTTTGTCTCACTTGATCTCTGACCTACTGATCATTAGGTTTCATAAAAGAAATGCCAGGTCTATAGCTTAGCTTGTTGAATACTCCCTGTGAAAGAATAAGATTTTATGTTGTTTTAAGGGTAATGTTTGAAAATAATTTATCTTAATGAACTATTTAAAATGAATATTTGTAGATACAGTTTCTTATTTGTTTTTTTTTTTTTTTTTTTTTTTTTTCTGGTACCAAGAATCAAACTCATGACCTCGCACTTGCCAGGCAGGCACTGTGCCACTGAGCTAAATCCCCAGCTCCTGTAGATACAGTTTCAACTAACATAAAGAAGTAGAGTTTTTACATGATGTGTGCATCATGTATAAGAAAGGCAGCTAGGCTATCATTAGTGGTTTAATTATCATGAAGTTGGTGAGCAAATTCAAATATTTACTTACAACTTTTTAATTTAATTTAATTTTATTGTTAGTACCAGGAATCGAACTCATACTTCCAACTTTAAATGAAAAAGAATTTCCTTAGGAAATAATTGTCTCTTTCATCAAACGTATTATCTTAAACTTTCAAGTCAACACCCCTTGGGATTTTATTATTAAAATTAGCTTTTGAATATCATAGAACAACTCTTTGCTCTGGGTATTTAGAAATACAGTTTGACGTTGCTTTTGATTAAGTATAGATTTGAAAATAAAAAAATAAAAAAAGTGTAGATTTGACTTACATTTTGTGCTTGCCATTCATAAATATTCTTTAACTTTATCCTGTATCTACTAATGCTTTGCATTAAAAAAAAGCACTTATATAAGTAACTTCAAGGTTTCTATTAAATAGACATAAAATTGTGACCTCGGTTTTACTTGTAATTTTAAAAAAAGCGTATTTATTGCTTACATACTTCAAACAACCAAACTAGTTTCATTTAGTTCTATATTTGAATTTTCATAAAGCAACCCAGGTTTGTATTTTCAGAACTAGAACATATTTTCATTAATCAATGTACAGAGATATATACCATTAATAAGAGGGACTTTTAAATAATTTTATGTTTTTCTTTAAGAAAACTAATTTTCTCTTTTAAAATATTTTTCTTGCTATATTCACCTTGACATATTCATTGTCAGTAATTAAAATAGTATTTTGTCCTTATCTTTTCTCATTTAGTATGAATAACATTTTTCAGATGCAGTAATGCCATTTTAATCTTATCATCTCAAATCCAAAATGCCAAAATGTCTAGTTACTTTGCAAGTATGATATTATTGAATCTCCTATGTAAATGTGTAACTGCT